TTGGCTGTAAGAACGTCCGTACGCGGGACGATCAGGGCGCTCAGCACCAGAAGCGCCGGAGGCAACACTCGCGCGCCTGTCTGCACCTCCAACATGGCTAACGCGACGACCGCCCGCATCATCTCTGGCCCCGGCCAGCTTCTGAGCGAACGGCGAGCGGGCGCGCAGAGTAGGACCCTTCCAGTAGATGACATAGACAGCAACGACTAGGATGAAGGAGATGCAGAAGAGAATTGTGCAAGCATATTCAAGGTTCTTTCCGGTACCTGCGCCAATATTGGTAAAGAAAGGCGTGGCAGGAACGGTAAGAACACCTGCGAGGAAGTCACGGGCCCAACCATTGCCGCCAGTTGCTGACGCGGAGTAGGGTCCGTAAGCACAGATCATGTAGTCAATGGTGGCCATGTAGATGGCGTAATTGGCGATACCGACAATGGCTGCGAAGACCATAGAGCCGATCCAGTGGATGGGAGGTCCCTGAATAGTCCAGGCGAAGCCAATCAAGCCAATAGGCAAGCAAGGCGCGGTGTACAACAGGAACCAAAGACGAGACTCGTACTGTGCTCTATCATCGTTGGGCTTGGCCGCACGCTCCTTGATGTTGCGCTTGATGGCGGGGATGAAGAGCAGCCACGCGAGGACGTAACCGATACCGATGGGAATGAAGGCCAACCCAACCTGAACGGTGGTGAAGTTCCACTGTCCGTAGACGAGGACGAACGACTGGATGAACATAAAGATGAGGGCATCAGAGAAACCGGAGAGAAGCGACAGCACCAGAACAATGGGCTCGGTGAGGAACATCTTGAAGGGGCGGATCCAAGTCGTGATGACTTCTTTGGCAGAGAAGCGGTCCTTGAAGGGGACGAGCTCGTCGGGGCCCCAGATGTTGGGGTTGCCTTCCTTTCTGCGTCTCTTGGCGATGCGGTTCATCATGATGGTTGTGCGTGTCTCGGGAACGGTAAGGGCGTGGACAGCCTGGACAGCAACTCCGAAAATGAGCTGGACCCAGATGGACCATCTAAGTACATACGTAAGTTGTTGTAGAATCAGAGTAGTGTTAGTGAATTGGTACATACCTCCAGTGCAGGTACTCCTCAGTAAATCCACCCACGATGGGACCCAGGACGGATCCTCCGACCGAGGAAAAGACAACGTATGCAACAGCATACTGCTGCTTGTCGGACTCGAACAAATCGGCAATCATACCGAGTGTAACGGAGCCGCCAGCGGACGACAGACCGCCCAGGGCGCGACCAACCATGATGGTAGCAAAGTTGGGCGCCAGGGCCACGGGAATCTGCCAAATATTGACGAGGAATAGTGAGAGCTGGAGAACCGGCCAGCGACCAAACTCCTCAGACCACGGGGCCCAGAGTTCACAGCCAAAGGCGTAAAGCACGAGGAAGATCATGGCACCGCAGCGACCGGCCTGGGCGCTCACGTTGAACTCCTCCGAGATGCCGCCAATGGCATTGGAGTAGAGCGAGGTGTTGAAGTTCATCGAGACCTGGACCCAGAAGATGACGGTAAGGATGTACCACTTTTTCCACTTGGGGAAGCAGAAGCCCAGCTCTTCGTAGCAGTCGTCCTCGGTGATTTCGTACTTGTCGTAGGTGCCCAGCTTCTCGAGCTTGGCGCCGTTGCCGTTGCCATTGGGGGCGCCATTGCCGTTCAGGTGCTCCGAGTGATCAATGGTTGGGTCGTGCTCTTTTGAAGCTGCTGTGTCGCTAGCGCTGGTATCGCCATGGGCGTTACGCTCGTCGCGGGACTCGAGCTTCTCGTTGGCGACTTCGAGGTCAGCCTGATTGATGACCTGAGGCGGTTCCTCAGCAAATCGTGTGCCAGCCATCTTGAGCTGTTGTCATGCAGGTGTAAGGTGTAGGATGGTCAAGAGAAGGCGAAGGTATCGCTTACTCCTGTTTTTCAGGAGGCCAGCCGAGAGTGAAGGAGGATGAGAGAGATGATTAGGCGTAAGGACAACCTCTAGAGACCAAACTCTGGATGATTCGGGAGAACCAAGGGATCGGCCAACTATGAATGCTCGGGCGACGCTTCGAGATATATCAATGGGGCGGTCAACTTCGGACGGAAGCCGAGGGACGCAGACCCTGCCGCCATGACCCAACGCGCCTGTTGCTGTCGACGTCGAGCCATGCCCAGTCGGCTCCCCAAACGTGCAGTCAGTCGCCCACCCGTGACATCACCGTCCATTGTCGGTGGCGCGAAACAGGCAACCTCTAGCGCAGCACGTCCCACTTAAACAAGACGCAGCGTTGGAGGGGCGTGGGTGTGTGGGATACGGGCGCGAGCGAGGTGAAAGAAAGGCAGAAGGGTACCGTAGCAGGGCAATGTAGTAAGCAAAATGAGCACCAAGGTAGCGTGGTCGTCGCCAGGACTGTTCGACGGGAGCTGCAGTCGCGAGCGGTCACAGGGCAATTCTGATGGAAAATCGGGTACGGGTGCGGATCGTCGACATTGTGGATTCGCCGGAGGGAGTCCGGAGGAGGGTCGAAATGTAGTGGTTTGTGAGGAGCCAACGAGGAACGAGCGTAGCGTGGCAGTCTAGCCGGTATGTGGAGTGATTGAGTTTGGCGCTGCCCTTGAAAACGTTTTCTTCTAGTGAGATTTTGATGGCTGAACTCGTCGACACCGTTTCTGTGCTGTCAAATTCCAGTCACGCTGCCCATCCGGACGCAGGATTTGGTGATGCGAGGAAGTTCGCGCTTCGGCTCCTGCCAGAGAAGCGTCAGAGGTGAGAGGTACGTACTTGAGGCTGGTGCCAAGTTGCGGTAGAGCGGCAGCAGACTTGGCGAGGGGGCGGCTTCCAAAGCTTGTTTGCCCGTGGAAAATACCTACCTATTACACCCACGCACCTTTCCGTACTGACGAACGTACCTTGTCCTACGCGGCTCTAGTGGCGTCGCAGTTCACGACGGGAGTGGCAGGCAGCCCTCAGCTGTACCTGGCGATGTCAAGGAACATCATGATTGGCACACCAGAAGAAAGAGAGACCCGCAAGAATTTTAGCAATGACGATCCATGGTCGCAAGACTTTTTGCTTCTCTCCGATTTCTTATTCCCATCTTCCGCTAAAAATCAACCTTGCACGGCCTTACCATGCTTAGCTGCTCTGGGAAGGCCGTCTCCATTTCTCTGTTTAAGCTCCCCAATGACACCAGGAAGCAGTCACCTTTTCGGGCTGCCAAACTGGGCAAAGCGGGATGCATAGCACCAACGGACACCAGTTATGACGTCGATGGGCCGGTGGGCCCGAACTCGCCCTCGCAGAACCCTCGCAGAACTGGACACAGTCACGCAGTGTAAGCGGTGCCGTCTCCAGCCGTTCCATCTCAATTCTTTTCTCTCCAGCTTCTCTCCAGGCTTCGTTTCTTTCTCTCCATGGGACGCTCCCACGCACATGCCCATCGCATCTCCAGTTATCCAGTCACTCCCCGCAACACCATCTGTTTGATATGCGATTACCACTTCGAGGTAGGTAGCGGCGCAGCAACAATGACATTAGGCAAGGTAAGGATAAAACAGAGTTTTTGAGATGAGCCATGCCAGCTTAACCCTTTCTTTGTTCGTATTTCAACGACATCATATGCAGTCAAACTTTTACTCAGCCAGCTAGTCAAAGTGAAAGCAAAGAGGATTAGATCAGCCACTCCCGCAGCCTCAACCGGCGCCTGGACGCTGCCAAGATTCGGATGCCTCCTGACGGCCCGAATGTCGATGAAACGCAGTCAACCGAAGCATTCCGAACCCATCATCAACCAACCATTGAATCAATCCCTTCATATTCTCTCTTTTGACCAAGGTTATTGCAGCCGCCATTCAGGTTCATTGCATGTGGATGCCTCGTACGACGTCGCCTCACGACTCACGTAGGCCTGGAGTCAACGTTACTTTTCCCCTCCTCAATCTGCCGACCGCTCCAGTATCATGATCGTTCAGTAATACAGATCCAGATAATCCTGCAAGATTAACCAATGAAGCATCCCATCTCGTAGAGAGTGTCCCTGAACCCTCCGATTGAGCCCGGCCTTTTGGGTGAGGGATTAGGTAACACATTTTTCTCACTTCACGTCCTCCACCTTTCCCTCCATTTTCCTCCACCCCGAGATATATCTGGGTCTGGAGTCTCCACGAGTCCACGTGAATGCAAAATACGATTCTCCCTTCCTAATTCGTTGCAGCGGCCAATCACACGGGCTTACCCACTGAAAGTCCTGTTACCGGATGCACAGAGCCTGAATAGGTAATCCGTCGCGAAGGAGGAAAAACAATCTAGCCCGACCGCCACGAAAAATAACTGCAAGTGCGTAGTTGCGGTGAATATTGTGATCTCTCAGTGTGTACTTCGAGATAAGAAGGTAGGAACTCGAGCGAAGAGTCCTCTTACAATGCTTGCCTGCCCCGTCAACCTTCCGGACTTACGGTCCGAGTCGGCTGACTTGCGACGGATTGGTCGCGAAGTGAATCGCCACTACGGTGCCCCCGTTTCGCCAAGCGAACGATTCGCAATGTCCCGGAGCTTGATCTCCTTGGCCGACGGACGATCACCGATGCCAGTATGATCCGTCCGGCATTGGCGACAGGGGTAAACAAAGATTCCATGTCGAATTTCAACCTCCATTTCGAATTGTCTGTTTATCGTGTGCCACTACCTTAACTAAGTGGCGACAAGTCAAGCAAATGGGATGTTATGCATTCTTCAAACCTGAGTGCATGTTCTTAAGTTATAACACAAAAATGATGGTGTAATACTTCGGCATCCACCAGCCAAAGCCTACCTACCACCCATAGTCTCCTAGGACTAACTGACTGTAAGAGATCTACCATAATTCAGAAAAATATCATAAATGACATACATGACAATATGCACCCATTGAACCCCTCCCCCCTTTCTCTCTCTCTCTCTCTCTCTCTCTCTCTCTCTCTCTCTCTCTCTCTCTCTCTCTCTCTCTCTGTCCGCCCAAGAAGCCAATGGGAGATTAAACACCTTCCACCTCTCGGATAAACCTCCAGTGTTCCTTGGCACTCGAGATCGCATCCAGATGAACTCTCCCCTTCACCGCAGCACCATCAAACACATCCTGCGCAAACGCTGCCAAATCTTCACCCGACCAGAACATCGGCTGGCGACGACAGAGTCCCCAGATACGCAGCATCTCCACGTGGAGAAGCCTCATTCCACCAATCATCCATTCAGCCTCCTCGACCGTCATCCCGTTCATAGTATCACGGCCCGGCTTGATCCGGACGTAGGCAATGCGGGCAACGGGACTACAGACAATCTGAAACTGACTGACCCACGACCGCTCCAGTCCCGGACCGGGCCCGATGGGCGCCGGGAGAAAGTTGAGGAACTGGAAGGTTAGAAAGGGCACCGGAACGCCCCACGGCACCGTCTCGTGCTGCTGCTCGAAGCGGCGTAGGGACGGGTTATTCGCCCACAGGCTGTTGGCTCGCGCAGCGACGACCTGTCTTGTGATGGGGCCGACGCTGCGTAGCCGGCGGTAGTGATACATCGTGAGTTGCTGGTAGAGATCCCGATGGAACATACCTAGCTCGTACCGGACGTTGAAAGGTTCGCCGGTGACCGCGCTACCCTTGTCAAACTCCTCGCGGAGGTAGGCCAGCATTGTACTGTCTTGCGGAGAGGGAAGGTCGGCGTCGTGAGGCGGGTGGGTGAGCCACTTACCTTGCTCAAAGTGATGACCAACGCCGGGAATGGGCACTGGGTTAGCGGGTGCGCTTTCGGAGTTCAGGTCGATTGAAAAGCCGCCCTCATTTTGAACTTCTACACCAAGCACTTTAGTACCGCCTATTCTGAAGCTCAGTGAAGTGAAAGATGCCCGATACACACCGAAACGCGGCTTGATGGCCTCCATAACCCGCCAGGGGAAGTATACCCAACGCGAAGGATCGACTTCCTGTTCTTCGTCTCCTTTCCTGGTCGACTGGTGCCTGACCATCACACATGCAAGGAAGAGTTGAACCAATGTCTCATCGTCAGAAACGAGTGAGTAGTCGAAGATGAGGAAGGAAAACTCGTCGCCCCAGTTGAGTGAAGACTCATGGTCGGACATGCTGGACTGTTCGTCGTTTGCGACACACGGCAGGATCCTCCTGAGATTGTGCCAACTGCCAGTTATCAGCCAAATGGCTAAGATCTTCAAAAATTGATGAAGCGCGATGCAAATAAACACCGAGTGGACTAGGGTCATCAAACTCATGGCAGTGATTTGAGTGGTATGCTGATTAATGTCAGGACTACCTTGGTCTTGATACTTCCTGAACAGGACATATATATATATGTATATATCTATACACTGAAACTGCCAATCTACGGGAATCTGTCACCTTTTCAAGTTTCCGTAAAATTATATTTTAATCACACGGCCCATTTGCTTTTGATCGTCGAGGTCGTCTTGGAGGCGACCCTGTCTTTTACCCATGAAACCTCTTTCGCTTCGAAGAAAAGGAGAAAGGAATTACCTTGTGTCATACCAATGTGATGTAATTCTACTCGAAAGCAAGACGCGGGTCCGTTGAGCCATGTCGCTTACGAGACGACCTGTTCTACGAACCTGTAACGGGCCTTCTCCTTCGAGGGGAGTGCGACAGGACCGGTAATCAGGCGAGCAACAGTCGTGAGTGAAGCACGGTAGCTTAGGCCTCGACCATACAAGCACATCAAAGGATCCGAAACTCCAAAAAGCAAAAGAGTTCACCCCCCCGGTGCTGGACTGGGGGCTACATCTCTTGGTGCTCATGCTGGGAAATTTCTGGTGCTCATACTAGGACTCGAACTCGGGTACTCGCTAAGCCTGTCGTCGAGTAGGCTGGTTGGCGTATAATCGTTGGACCATTAACCTCTCCACCACCCAGCCAGTTTGACCTGACCCCCCGACCTAAGGGGGCGCCTGCTGGCTGGTGACAGGAATGGACTTGACGGGATATATAAGGGCTTCTCGTGGCGTCTGCGGAAGGTACGCCCAGGCTTCCTGCCCGGTGACTGGAGGGCAAAAGGTGGAACCTGAACACTTTCAGCACCGCCAGGTAAGGCAGGTAGTGCGTCTCGCCCATTGACCGCACCTGCCTTGATCAGCTACCATGATACGCATTCAATAATATAGATGGGCTTCCGCTGCCCGGGTTACTCGCGGATATGGAAGGTATGCCTTTGAAGCCGGACTATCATCACTTCGCTTCAGAAACAACTACAACACAAAGAAAAGAGCCAAGAATCCCGAGGCAGCATCTCGTTCGGACAAAAATATTCATTGAGTTCTACCACTTTTCCTCCCATTCTTCTATGTTGTGGTGCTCGTCCAGAACGAGTAGCATCCCAACCCTGAAACTGCAGTACCCGTCTCGCTCGAGAATGCCCAAGATCCTATGTGTAATCATCATCTCGAAGCTCATCTCATTCAATGACCTCTGCCTTCTTCTCCCTTCAAAAGCAGTCCGCTAGGCTTGCGAAGCCCTGGTGTTGGTATCCCTATCACAGCAGTCGTAGGTTGGAGGGTCGATTGGGGTCTAGTTGATCGTCGAATTTGCTCCTGCGCTGCCCTTGACTCGCAGTCGGATTGGACTTCCAACTCGTCAGCTAGCCTTGTTAGCCTATCTTCTAATGCTCTCCCACAGCTCCTTCGTGATGCGCAATCTATCAGCGGCGTTGTCCAGCTTCGGCCAGTGGCGAAATTCGGAATGTCTCAGAAAGAAGTTGCCAATGCTCGAAACTCTGCCTCTTCCGGCCATATATTTAGCCCATCGAATCATACTCGTATAGTAGAATTGTGCTGCGCCGAGCAATTTTCGATTTCCTAGCCGGTCTCTATCATAATGAAGATGGATGGCGTTTGAAGCGACCTCGTGATTGATGATAAAGCCTTGGTCGAGGATCAAAGGCAATCCTAATTCGTATGATGAAGCACCATTGAAGGGAAGCGACACCGCCCAGTCAAGTCGAAGACCCTGAAAGTCTCCGAATCCCAGAAGATAGGGGTTGCTGGCCCACGCCTCGTTCATTGTCAGGTTGCAGTGGACGTTTGCGTATGCGCGTTCCTCCAGGTATTCCAGAACCCAGAATATGTGATCGTCGTATTCATTTCGTTCATCAAATTCGACTTGTTCGCTGTAGATGTCGAGGAGTTCCATCCAGTTCACCCAGGGTTCTTCGGTCTCAGAGGGAGAATCATAGAGCCAATTGTAGTTGCTCCTGCTGCTATTTTCTCCCAAGTTCAGGCCTAAAATAAGGTCAGAATGTGATGCGCAACAGAATGTTGTAGGTACTTGCCTGTCTGGTATAGGGAGGATCGCATGAGGTGCCATAGCAGGTGGTTCCATGACTTGGGGCGAGACAGGGTGTTGAGAGGCAAGCGCTCTCCCTTCAAGAACTCCATGATGAAGTTGTCGTATTTCGCTTTGCTTGCGAGAGGAGAATCAGTGTCTTCATCGTGCAAATCCCAGTAGAAGAACAGGAAGGCATCCTTCCAGTTAATCTTATTGGCGTCCATGTTGGCGACTTGGTGTGCTGTGATGGAAAGAAGAAAAGTCCTCGCAGGGTGGGGGGATTTAAATAGACTGAATGAAGGTACCGCCTGCCTTTGAATCCCTCCTTGACCTTGATAAAAGGTGTGGCACCGTCTGTTTGTGACAGAGTGTTGAGAGGAGTGAAAGGGACAAACGAATGTGAGTTGCGGAAGCAACCCTACCTAAAGTACTTACTTAGGGAGGTAGGTGCTGCCTACAACCTTCCATGCACGTCAAGAAAGATGGACATGAGCTAGGCAGGCACCTTGAGTGGATATCTAAGGCAGTCGAATTTCATCTTTCCATTGTTCTTTCCTCCCTTTGACGTTAACTTCCTCACTGCCCAAACAACTAAATTGCCCTAGGTAGGTACACTTCTGCATTACTACTTGCTTGCTATTTAACACGATGATTCCTTCAACAGTTCCTAGTAGCTTAAGTCCAGTTCTAGAATGACACAATATGAATTTGCGTATTAGTTTAGCATGGCAATCCCCTTTTCGACCCTAACCAGTGAGAGATTCGTTTGCAAAGGTAGGTAGTACGAGCCGTTGCATCAAGTCGAGGCTATGCTAACCTCCGCCAGAAGCCAGCTCAAGGAGATATTTGATGTTAGGAGTATCGAAATTTATCAGATTGTCGTCGATCTGCGGTGTTTGTTGTACATCAAGTCCCAAATCCAACATCTGTTCACTTTCTAGGTTGAGGTCTGGAAAGTTCGGAGAGTCTGAAGGCGCTGATATCTTCGGACTTGGAATAGGTAGATTTGATTCGCGGCACATCTCCCCGTAATCGACCATCGACCAGAGGGATCTTTCCCATCCTGGATCCATGACTGATTTCAGCTGCGAGTCAAGGAGTGAATCGAAAAGATAAGCGTTCGCATTGAAAGTTAGCAGTCGATGGTGCTATACCCAATGTTAGCCCATACACGCATCGAGTAATTGAAAACTTACTATTTTGGACGCATGATCCCAAAACTTTGCCATTCCTTCAAGTATTGATATGCTGTCTTGGGTTGCACTCAATAGTTCCAAGTAACGCTGGCTCTCGGTATCTTTCTCGGCGTGCATGTGAAGCGAGAGAATGCTACCAGCCAGACACGCTGAATATGCGTAGAATGAGGCACCTAGATGGCACCCTACTGCTTCCGCATCGTGCAGCAAATTGACCAGATCCCGAGCATGTTCGTAGCTTTTCTGTGAGGCGAGGCGCATGAAACTTGATGGAACTTGACACTTGGCCTTCCGAACTTGCTCTCGCACAAGGAACGGATGGTAGAGAAGACAGTAGCAGACATGGAATACTGTGCGTGCGAAGATGACATGACCCATAGCAGGGTGATCTATAACACCATCATCAAGCCTATAAGTATCAACAACATCCTTGATGGGATGTTGATCAACTTTAAGACGCGACTCAACAAGTAGAAGGAGGGATGTGATTGATGCAAACTCCGACTTCGAGTCCCACGGGGGAGTCTCATCGGTATTGCGGTCGTGAAGAAGCCTTCGAGTGCAGCGAGCAAGTACTGATGATGCCAAGATGGCAACTGGGAATCCACTCTCAACACCAACATCGGTGCTCCAATCGAGGAGTTGACGGAGCGTCACATTCTGGCCCCATCCGCCAGAACGGAATGTCAGCTTGTCGCAAGGTAGTCGCACATGGCAGTCCTCGTCCAAGATGGCGAAATGTCTGTGTTTGCCGAGGGAGACTAGTTTGTCGAGAAGGTAGATTGACCAAAAGGATCTCCGCCTTTCTTCCTGCTCCACCAGAGGAAGAGTTTCACTGGGCTCCTTCATCAGTTGGAGATCCTGGGCTATCCGTATTGCCATCCCAATCTTGAGCCACGCGGAGCTGGTTCGGCCGGCTGATAAAGGCTTTAGTACCTAACGAGACCCAGTTGTCGAAACACTCACCGGTAAAGTCAATGATGGCTAGGATGTTGGTGGCTTGGGCGACCTCGAGGTTGCAAGAATCTTCCACCGTCATGTGATCGGCCAGAACGGATAACCATGCTTCTCTTGCATATGCCTCAATCGCATTGGATCTGTTTTCTCGATAGTATTCGTGTTCTGAAAACCTCAAGGAAGATGCTAAAACAGCCAAGAGCACGCATTTCGAAAGCTGACCATCCGCTAGTTTCTGTCGGAAGCTTCCTTCGTGAAAGTAAGAGTATGGTTGGTTATGACACCATTGAAAGAAAGTATTGACCAGCGACTGTGTTACGGAATCCGGCGGAAATGTACTGAACGTTCTGCGAGGCCATGTTGGTTTTTCTAGAGTCCTTTCAAGCTGCAAAAGACGCTGAGAAAGACTTACTGGGACTGCGAGCTTCCTGAACGCCATGTAGTTGAGATGTTGGGCGATGATTGGTTAACCAAATCAGGCACGCCTAAAACATCTTCGTGTTCATTCAATTGGAATTGAGGCTGATCTTCCGCAGGATTTTGGTCTTCCATAGGCAGATTGGTCTCGTTGAAAGCGGCGGAACTGAGCTGTATTAGCACAATAATCCTGACTTATGAAATTTGACCATGGACACATACCTAAACTCTTGAGATTCGCGGTCGCTCAACCGAGCCAATTTGCTTTCAATCATAGAAATCCTCTGTAGAAGGTCCGTCTAGATAGGGTCACGTCGTCAGTCTACTGATCTCCTGGGGCCAGACAATTGTCACAGTGATTACGTCTTTAGTCAAGCCGAGAAGCAACGCAGTCGAGTTCCCAGAAAGGGAGGCCGAGACTGCCGAGTAGGGCTCATATTGGCACCGCTGCATCACCCGTCGACAATTGATACATCTTGGTCGATCCCCGGAACATTTGATCTTCTTCTGTCTAAGGAAAATGCCGTCATATCAGCTTCTCTGTAACTTCCACGCGACTTGACCTTTGATACGGCTTCCACCAAAGAAGGGATGAAGGGCTTGGAACTCTACCGGCAACTAGTACAGGCCTGGCGGATGCGTTTGATACCTGCGGTGGTTGGTGGTGACCTCGACTCCGGACTTCTCTCTGGCCTCGTTGTGGATGATTCCGCGGGCTCCGCCATGCTGATGCTGTCTACTGTTTTCAGGCAAGGGGAAATGATGTAATGAATGTTGTTGCTGAGGTCCCAGACGCGCTCGTCCGCCCCAGAGTGAAGTGACCGATGAACATTGATATGGGGTAATGCTGAGCCGTAATGCGGGGTAACCGGGGTTTATGTACGTGTGCGTGGGGAATCAACGGCCCGCAGCAGCGCAGTGGGTTCACTTCCGTTGCCTTCCCCATTCTTTTCATCCAGATGAGCCAACCTGCTGCCGGGTATTACAGCTGGTTTTAGGTTGCAGCTTGCTGTTGCGCTTAGCAAGTCACGGTTGTTGTGTTTACTCAAGGCAATTGAAGTAAGCTTCTATATGCTGAACTACGTGTCTTATGCTAGATCTTCGCCCGTGGAACCTGATTCAAGGAATCCCAGTCGACCTTACGCTTCTGCTGGAATTCTGCTATGCCATGGACAGCATCAGAGCCAGGCTCCATCATTGACTTGAAAAGCCTGGAAATCCCGTCTCGCTGCTCTGGCATTCCCGCGTGTCTCCAACTTAACTTGACTAATTCTTTCGACATGCTTGAACCCCCGGGCGACGAGTGTCGAAGTTGCGCGAGGAGGGTTTTCGTTATGATGTCCAGTTCTGAGGGCGCCTCAGCAACCATCGAGATGGCGCCAGCAGACTTCAGTTCGGAAGCTGTCAGAGACCGTGCTGTGAGCATGGCTTCTCTCGAGAGTCCAAATCCCCATTCTCTGATGACGTATTTCGAAATTACGGCAGGACACATGCCAAGCTTGGCCTCAGACAATGTGAAGGTTGCCGAGCTGATGGAGATCCTGATGTCGCAAGCGAATGCTAATCCGATCCCACCGCCGAAAGCAGATCCTTGTATGCAAGCAATCGTGACCTTTGGAGAATTGTCGATGAGTTCGAATAAGTCTGTCAATGCCTGGAATAGTTTCGCACTTGCGTCACCGCCTCGGCCAACTGCCTGTGCAGCTTGGCTCAGGTCCATCCCGGTGCAAAAGAATTTGCCATTTGCGCTGATAAGAATACGAGATATGGAGGGGTCGTTCTCGAAGGACTTGAATGTGCGGATGATCTCGGATATCATCGGAAAAGTCAGAGTATTTCCGTTTCGGGGCTTGTTGAGAACGATATTACCGTTCGCCCCAGCCCGCTGAGCGACAATGTTGTCAGACTGTTCCAAGACCGACCACTCCCAAGCTTCCTTTGGCCGGCTGGTAAACTTGGATGATGATCCCGTCGATGACCTTTTGGATTTGCTGGCGAGAGCGGCTCCAGCCCGGCTATCGTTGGGTTTTGCTAGGGCATTGGAAATCCAAACTCCTATGTCAACTACTTGCTGGAGGTCTACACCAGTATCGACCCCAGCTTGCTGAAACAGATATACAACATCTTCCGTAGCCACATTTCCCTTGGCACCTGGTGCAAAAGGGCAACCACCTAGGCCGCCAACGCTGCTATCAAAGGTTCGCAGACCGCATTCATATGCCGTCCATACATTGGCTAGAGCTTGCCCGTAGGTATCGTGGAAGTGGCCAGCTAATTTCTCGGTATGTATGTTCTGACTCTTAAGGTACTCAAGTAGCCGTCGGACGTCTGATGGTGTTCCGACACCTAAAGTATCACCAAGGCTAACTTCGTAGCAACCCATATCGAGTAAGCTTCGCACTGCGCGGGAGACTGCAGGTAAAGGAGTAGAACCGTCGAAAGGGTCGGCAAAGATGCAAGAAACGTATCTGTCATAAGAAAACGAAGTTAGATGACTGTGTATCGAGGCTGAAAGACCAACAAACATTCCAGAGAAGAAAAACGAACTCACCCCCTCACAAGCACACCGGCTGTGCTAGCCTCGGTAGCCACCTGCTTGGCACGCTCCAAGCTCTCATCGACAGTGCAGTTGATGTTTGCTCGACTGAAGCCTTCTGTCGCACTGACGAAGACAGCCACTTCTCTAACACCATGTTCGAGGGCGATGTGTAACCCTTTGGTATTCGGAACTAAAACTGGCAGACGCAGTGTGGTATCGGTTTGTTGCCACCTCTTCACATTAGGGGCGGAAAGTATTTTGCGGCAATCTGCAAGTTGTGGTATGACCTTTGATGAAACGACAGACGTGATTTCAATATTCTGGAGTCCTGCACCCTTTAGTCTTTGGATGAGTTCCAGCTTCGTCGAAGTATCCACCACGGTCTTGACATTTTGTAGGCCGTCACGAGGCCCAACCTCGACGATTCTGATAGTCTTGGAGCCCGCCATATTGGATGGAGGTTAAAGTTCAATTTCAGCAGAAGAAAAAACCGAATATCGCTGTGTGTGGCTTACAGGAGCATTTGTGTGCATCCATCCCATCCAAGATTGCTCCCGTCGGCTTTGCATCTCCAGGTCGGCCCCGGACCGGGTGGGTCCTGGTACGTACCTAAATGCCACCTCGGCTGGAAATCTGGGGTACGCCGGGATTCCGGACCGCCCGGCTAAGGTTGGATAGGTAGCCGCTTCCGCCCCAAGTGCCCAATTGGATGACTCAAGATTGTCATCTTCCAATTGCTCTAGTCCCCTTTCCTTGGCACCCAGATCCGTACCCTCGCGGTTAAGGTTCATGAATCCGTACCACGTGCATGTTCGCATCTGAACAAGCTTAGAGGAGGAAGACCGCAGTCCATTACATTTGAGCATGAGGTTAAAGGTCTGATGATAATCGTGAGCTCGTGTCGAGTCAAGCAAGTCCCCAGAAGATAACGTGCACTTGTCTCTGGTCAAAGTGATGCTGCTTACTTTTGTACTGGAGTCAAGGAGACTTTACTGAATTTAAATGAACAGACTGAAAGGACTCGGAAAACGACTCAAAGACTTATACAGAACATAACCTAAATGAAATCAAATTCTTGCTAAGAAACGATGTGATTCGGCGCTCTTTTGGCCAGATAACCCCACAATCTCCAAGCACATTCCGAGAACGTCACGAGTGTCCCTTGGGTCAATGATGCCATCATCGATAAGCATCGAGCTTGTTGCATAGCTCGTCGAATCTCTGTACGCATCCTCCCGTAACTGCGCTGCCTGGGCTTTGATCTCATCTGGAGAGAGCTTGCTACCGCCGTTGGACTTGGTTCTGATGGTTTCCACAACGCCTGCAAGCTGGTCTGGGCCCATGACACTGCAACGCCCCGTTGGCCACGTGAAAAGGAATCTTGGGCGGTATGACCGGCCGCACATGGCATAGTTGCCGGCTCCGTAGGATGCTCCAAGGATAATGCTAATATGAGGAACCGTTGAGCAGCTTACAGCGGACACGAGTTGTGCGCCTGCTTTGATGATTCCGGAGTGCTCTGCTTTAGTACCCACCATGAAGCCAGTGACATTGTGGAGGAAGATGATGGGCGTATTTCTCAAGCTCGGTCAGCTAGAGCGAAGAAAAGCATTGGGCTCGAGAAGCTTACTCCTGGTTGCAAAGTCGAATAAACTGTGCGGCTTTAAGGGCCTCACGTGCATGGATCACAGGAGTCTGGTTCGCCACAATGCCAGCACGAAACCCTTCATTGTATATGTATCAGCGACTGGAACTTTGTTCGTGAAAGAGGATAGAGCAACGCAAAGCTTCTTACCGAGGATGTCCGCCCAAGCCGTCAGCATGTTTGTTCCGTAGCTCGGCTTGAAGATAGACATTCTGGAGTCATCAACAAGTCGCAGCAATACCTCGCGCATATCGAATGGTTTGCGAATATCGGTGTTCACCAGATATAAGAGATCATCGATGGAATACCGAGGAGGTACAGGATGCGACGAATTGGTGAGTAGGCGGCTGGGTTCTGGGGTGCGAAGTGTTGCAACCCATTCGCGAGCTTTCTGAATAGCGTCAAACCTGCCACAATGGTGTCAGTCAGATGAAGACCGAAGCAAGATCGAAAGTGCCATACTCGTCCATGGCGATCTGATCAGCCAGTCCGGTTGTTGAGGCATGAATCTTGGCCCCGCCCAGCTCCTCAGCAGTGACCACCTCGGAAGTGGCCATCTTTACTAGTGGAGGCCCTCCCAGAAAGACTTGGGCCTGGTTTTCCACTAAAATGGTGTAATCAGAAAGTGCAGGATGATAGGCACCTCCAGCAGTCGAGGAGCCAAAGACAATGGCACACGAGGGTTTGCCTTGCTGAGATCGTATCGCTAGATCACGAAAGAGTTGGCCCCCTTTATGAAAGACTCGGAACTGTTGGGGTAAGAAAACACCGGCCTTTGATAGTTAGAATACTTCTGTATCAGTTGGGATGGCACTCCTACCGACTGAACCAGTGAAATGAGAGGCAGATCGTTCTCGAATCCTATTTCAAGTATGCGGTTGACCTTGAGGACTGGTCTGGGTTAAGAGTCTGGCCCCAAAAGACATGGAAGAGAAGTCCTCACCTGTCATCTCATTCCAAGCTCCTCCACTCTGCGTGGGGATATGCGACATAAGAAGGCATGGCCGTTGACTTGTTTTCTGTCAGAAATGGATTGATGATCCAGTGATCTCAACTGAACTCACCTAACAAGGCCGATACCTGCAATGATATTTGCGCAGGAGTTAGATCCGGAGATCCTGAACCCCGCAAAACATCCTAACTCAAGAAACGGTGAGTCTGCATCGAGCAGTAACGCAATCCTGTCTCGTGCTTCATTGGACCGTGCTATTCAGCTCAAATGTCTCAATGTGGTGATGGCCGAAAAGCGACTTACGCAGCAGTTGGTGTCTTGTTTGGTGTCTCGATGTGGAAGCCTCGTCCCCTTCCGAGGACACATCTTTCAGATAATTGTCAAATTCTCGCAAAACCGGCTCCCATGCTTGACGATTCGCTTGGAAGTTGGATGCAGTGAGGTCAACGGTTGACTTCTCGACGGGAAAAAGTTGTTCAATCATATCGGTCAGATTGAAGAAAGCAGTAGAGCTGTGTGTATGGAGTAGAGTCAGTTGCGTCTTGGTCGCGTGTGACTCGGTAGAAGTATTGGGTTTCTGAGTATGGTTCGGGGCATTGGCGCTCTCCCGGACCGATCCCCGCGTGCCCCTCGGACCCCGGTTGGCCCACCTCGATGTCGGCTATCAGACATCCGGGGAATAGTATTTATGACTTATGGCATGTAAATTAGTTTTCATAGACGTAGTTCCGCATCTGGCTCATATTACTGGACGCCCTTTTTGCCCATCGTTCTCAACGCCAAGCACCTTACCTCACCTTCCGCAATCATGACTCCTTCGGCGGACTCATCGCTCTCTCTCGTTCAGGGACCAGCCTCACCGCCTCTTAATCTTAAGCCGCTTGGTTCTATTATTGAAGAACAATCGAAAAAGCATGGGGACCGCCCTGCCGTCATTGTCCCCTGGCAGTCCACGCGGCTCACTTATCGGGAGCTCGCAGACCGCAGCAAAGTCATAGCCAAAGCAATCCTTGAGGTTGGACTTCATCACGGAGACCGTGTGGGAATCATTGCGGGGAATTGCTATCAGTACATTGAACTTTTCCTTGGTGCTGCTCGCATTGGATGTCCTTACGTCGTTTTCAACAATACGTATTCGCCTGACGAGCTGAAAAGTGCTGTTTTAGCCAGTGGTAAGCAAAAACAAGATTATTTCCTCCAAATCGGTCCACCCACTGATTCTTCACGATGCCGAAGGCTGCAAACTCCTCTTGATGTCGCCTCAAATAGGGACAAAGTCGCTGTCGCCTCACCTAGAAAGTCTCTTGAGTCTTCAAAAAGGACAGTCTCCGCTCAAACAGATTGTCTACCTGCAAAAGTTCGAGCAAGCTCCTCAGAGTAGCATGCTTGAATCTTACAGTTTCTTCTTCAACCGCGGACAGTCGATTTTCATGAACGACTCCGTCTTGAGACGAGCGGCACGAAAGGTTCGCCCTTCAGATGTACTGAACCTCCAGTTCACTTCCGGTGAGTTTAGCTACGATCTAGATTCTATCTTGTGCTCAGCATCGTCTAGGAACCACGGGTCGCCCGAAAGCCGCCACTCTCACTCATATGTATGCCACCCCATCAAGCCCTGATTTGGAAGAACTAATCTTATCAATTGCCTAGCAATTTGGTGAATGATGCTCAATTCGTGGGTGACGCTATGCGCCTGACCGAGACAGACGTAGTGTGCTGCCCCCCGCCTCTGTTTCACTGCTTCGGCCTAATCATGGGATTCCTGGCTTCCTTCTGTCACGGCAGTTCCATTGTGTTTCCCTCTGATAACTTCAATGCAGAGGCAACACTATCCGCCGTGTTGAAAGAGAAGGCCACGGCTCTCCTTGGAGTTCCAAGCATGTTTCTTGCCGAATTAGAGGCGCTCCAGAAGTCAGGCTCTCCAATCAACACCCTGCGAACAGGTCTCATCGCAGGCTCTCCTGTGCCAGCCTCATTGATGACCGATGTCCGCGACAAGATGCACGTTGAGGGCATTCTCATCGCCTATGGGATGACAGAGACTAGCCCAGTCACATTTATCACGTCACTTGAGGATGGGTACGAGAAGAGAAATACCTCCGTGGGCAGGGCTCTTCCGCATATTGCGGCTAAAGTGGTGGATGCTCAAGGAACCATTGTGCCACGCGGAACTCGAGGAGAACTATGCACCAGTGGTTTCGCATTGCAGAAAGGTTACTGGGATGATCAGGAAAAGACGAACGAAGTGATGAAGGTCGACGAAAATGGAGTGGTTTGGATGCACACAGGCGACGAGGGCTTGATCGACACCGATGGCTATGCTCATATCACAGGACGCATCAAGGACTTGATTATTCGTGGTAGGTTTCAAAGTTGGGTTCCGAAGACTTCAACTAAACATCTGGCAGGTGGCGAAAACATCTCTCCAACTGAGATCGAGGATCGATTGCTCAGCCACCCCGCTATTTCAGAGGCTTGTGTCGTTGGCCTCCAGGACAAAAGATATGGCGAGGTGGTCGCGAGCTTTCTCCAGACGGCGAATAGCACTGTGAAGCTGACTGATTCGGAAGTCAAGGCTTGGGTTACGGAGAAATTGGGACGGCACAAGGCACCCGAACATGTGTTCTGGATCGGTCACCCTGATGTTGGAACCAGTCTGCCTAAGACTGGGAGTGGAAAGTATCAGAAGCATCTCATACGAGATTTGGGCGATGCGCTGCTCAACAAGTCAGCGAGGCGGGCAAAGTTGTAATATCAGCTCCTTTTACCGTAGTTCCATTTCGCTTCAGACTTGCAAAATACTGCACGCTAGTCATTGTATTTTGGGTCTTTCACAAAGGAGTGAACCTGGTTTGCAGTGCATGCTTGATTGAATCTCAATAAATACAAATTAAATTCTTGCAATTTCAGCAAAAAGTCATCGCTCAATTGACCAGGTTGTCATTGAATCACCAATGTAGGATCAATCAATGGCGCTAAATGTTCCGTTTACAACTTCATTCTAAGTCGGCGATTGTACACGCTAGAGTAATGTAATATAGTAAGACATGAAACCGCCTACCAATGTTTTTGTTGACTGTAATTCTTCGCCTATCACAGTACCACTATCAAATCCCCTCGAAATCTTAGAGTATGTTGCTGAGTTCTGCCGCTTTGACACCTTCGTCAGGTTGAAGTTCCGAGGAGCCAGGTGCCAGGGCCCACACAGTGTACCGTTGTCCGGACCGCTTCCCGGCGCTAACGTTGCAGCTTTCCCGAGCATACCCGCCGGCAAGGGCATCTATGCCGCGTCACAGACATTAGTCGGAGCGCGGTTCACTGTTCCCGAGATCCGAAGGCTCTATGATGTTGGCCAATCTCACTATCAAAAATGGACTTTGAAGCTCCTAGAATAAGGGAGCTTAATCGACCAGAGTCATTATTACATGTACTGAGTCTCGAGAAACGGGCAGAAACGGGCTTAAGCGAGTCTTCCCATTTCCAAAATCCTGCATCATCTCCGCCACAATGGCAGCTATTCAGCATACAGACGATATCACGGGAGCACGACCTCGCAGCAAAGAGCTTTTTGTGGCCGATATACCGCTTGGCGAAGATGGACAACCTCGGATTCGAAAACTTTTGATCGCGAACAGGGGCGAAATTGCCTGTCGAATAATTGCAACTTGCAAGAAAGTCAATGTAGCATCGGTAGCGGTTTATACTCAAGAGTAAGCTCCCTCTATATTGCAGCCCGAAAGCATTGGAATTTTCCTGATGTTCAATTTGTTGACTTTCCTTCTAGAGATGCTATTTCACGGCATGTAAGGGATGCGGACGAGTCCATTTGCATCGGCTCTATGGAGAAGAACGAGAGAAATCCGTTTCTCGACATTGATCTCCTGGTCAAAACTGCAAAAGATATCCACGCCGACGCAATTCATCCAGGATACGGTTACTTGAGCGAGAACGCAAACTTTGCTGACAGTGTACGCCACGCTGGACTCATTTTCGTCGGCCCTCCAGCCAAAGCCATGTCCACACTAGGCGACAAGCGCTCTTCCAAGGACTATCTCCGCCAGAATGCTCCTGATGTTCCATTGATCCCAGGATTTACTGGCACCAGTCTTGAGGCCGAAGACCTGCAAAGAGCTGCTGTCGACATTGGTTTTCCTGTGATGCTGAAAGCTTCCGCAGGCGGCGGAGGCAAGGGTATGAGAGTTGTGCACGAACCATCGCAACTGATGACGGAGCTGAGCAGAGCGCAGTCAGAAGCTCAACGCTCATTTGGTTCAGGAGACTGTATTCTGGAGAAGTTCATTGAGAACAGCAAGCATATTGAGATCCAAGTGGTTGGAGACCAGTATGGCCAAGTAGTGTCGTTCTTTGAACGAGATTGCTCGATCCAGCGTCGCAACCAGAAGGTGATCGAAGAAACACCATGCCCTTTTATCGATGACGATACTAGACAGAATATGAGCGAGACAGCCGTCCGAATCGTCAAGTTGATAGGCTACGAAGGAGCTGGAACCGTGGAGTTCGTCTTCGATACATCGACAAGAAAGTTCTATTTCCTTGAAGTCAACACACGGCTGCAAGTCGAACATCCAATCACCGAGGAAGTCGTCGGAGTTGACCTTGTCGCTTTGCAGCTGTTTGTTGCTGCCAAAGGTCGTCTCTCAGAGCTCCCTCGGCTATCAAATCTTACGCAAACTGGGCACGCAATTGAGTGTCGGCTTTGTGCGGAAGACCCCCAGCGAGATTTCCTTCCCAGCCATGACAAGATCCTCTTATGGAAGCCAGCCTCTCCAGGAAGAAGTTCGGGATCAGTCATCCGCTATGAGACAGCTATTCAGAGTGGAACATCGGTTTCAATCTACTTTGACTCGATGATCTGCAAGATTGTTGTCTGGGCACCGACAAGATCTGCGGCAATCAACATCCTTGCCAGAGAGCTGGCAAACACTCCGTGTATTGGCATCAGGACCAACCAATTATTCCTCCAAAGCTGTTTGTTGCACCCAGCATTCCAGGACTTTGGTTACAAGACATCATTCATCCCAAACAATATCGACGACTTGCTTCGAAGTCCATACACACCAGCCTTGCCAGACCACATTTCACTTATTCCTAGTATCTTTCTGCAACATCTGCAGAAGAACGAAGCCCAGGGAAGCGGTGGCCATCGCCACTTCCGGACAGTACGCCGTCAGTTCCACAACCAAAAGTTTGACCCGTTCCACCAAAGCTGCGAGATCATCTCCCTTAGAGACTCAAAATCCGCCTCTGGAGGGATTACTAGGTGCGAGGCCTGTCTTCCCAAACCAAGCTCCAGCAACGCCGACAACGAGTGTGACGTCTGTCTCTATCCTGTGACACATCAGAGTCCGGATGAGAAGGATCATTCATCCAAAGGAGGTGCAGAATTATCACCGGCATCGACCTTGACTGCCACTTACACTGCCACAAGCAGAGCCATTCGAACCGGAGTGGCTTGGTCGAGGCCCGTTTTCAACATCAAAAACGTCGAGCTAAAGCCATTATCTGGCGAACAGTTGCTCTTTTCGAAGGCGGGCTCTTTGTCATCACCAGTGTTCATGACTATGTCGGTGAATGGTCACAAGATTCGCGCATACCTTGCCATCCCAAATTTTAGCGAAGGTTGCCAAAGTCTGCCACTCAACGAAACTGTCAGGGTATTCTGTCACTTACCGCAGCTTGGGGAGTGGAAGGAGTTCCGCAAAGATACTTTGCTCTCGTTCTATACCAATCTAAGAAAAGAAGCGCTTTCCAGCAGCGACCAGCAAAGCGAAGTCAAAGCCCCGATGCCTTGCAAGGTGTTGTCAATTGCCAAGTCCGTTGGCGTCGAGGTCAACAAGGGTGAATGCGTCATGGTGATCGAAAGCATGAAAATGGAGATCAACATCATCGTGGGTGTTTCTGGCAAATTCCATACAAAGTGGAGGATTGGTGATGCGGTGGATGAAGGCGTTGTACTTTGTTCAGTTGAATAATTTTGGTTGCCATAGTTTCAGTAGTTCAACCATCATTTTTCAGTTCCGTTTCAATGTTTCCTCCAAGTATGATTCGATTAAGGTCTACACCCGAAGTCGTTTGATGCATGTATGTATGTCTGCATCATGCCAGAAATTACAACTTGAAGCAGAACTCATGCTTTTCCGAGAGTTTCATTCCTATTATACAGTATAGTTCATCTCAGATACTCCTTCGCTATTGTCTTTTCAACCTCTTCGTTCTCCGAAACGGAGTGAACAACACTTAAAATAGCGCCAAAGGATTTGTAGCATTAGGCGGCATCGCCGTTGCAACATCCCAGTGCTCAACAATGCAGCTTCCTTGGAATCTGAAAATATCCACCACCGCAGTCAGCGGCAAGCCTGGAACCTCCATTTTTGTATGAACCCATCCAGTGTTGTTACTAAACGAGTGTCGCAAGATTGTGAAGTTGGCAGCGTCGAAGATTGGGCCAACATAGTCGATGGCGTTTTGGCGTCCGCTGAGAGCGTTGGGGTTGTGCTGGGTGTAGTTTACGGACATGTTGTCTAAAATTGCCCCCTTTGCATCTTTTTGGACCAAGAATCTCTGGATGAACGTCTCAAAAATCTGCTGCTGGCGCCAGCTGGGTGTCGGTTGGTTTGCTGACGTGGAGCAGCTGATCGCTTCGGGGTTCTCATGATGAGGGAATGTAGGTGAAGTACTGAGCGAAGCCACAGTTCCTGCAAGAAAAACAAGGTTATTCAAGATCATGATTGCGAGATGGCTGCTGAACCTGGGTACTGGTAAAAAACGAAAGTTACTATGCTAGTTTTAAGCTTGCAAAGTAGAATTGAACAATTGGAATGTTTTACTAGTACAATTTAAGGAACTCAATTTTCTCAGTTTGTGATGTTGCAATTTACTCTTGAGATTAGGTTTTGCTTCGAAATGAATCGAAGCCAAGCTGTTTCCTTGCAAACCATGTCGATTTAGTTAAGCTGAGATTTCAATCCTCCGCCTCCGTTCGATTACTGAAATGAATTCCAGGCGTTGTAGTTCTGACCAAAGTCCCCATTTCCCATGCTTGATAATCAAGCCAGTATTCAAGAAGTGCAACGGTCCGGCCGAATATCGCGGACGAAGTTTAGTAATCGCAGTTGTTCTTACGGTAGAACTCAACCCCGTTCCATAGCTTTCTAAGCCGAATGGAGATTTCCTATATATTACGTTGCTTCAAAGTTTATTAATACAGACAATCTTAATGCTACATCCACGTAGATGATTTGGTCGCTTTTGAATTACGCTGAATCTTTGAACGCAGAAAGAGTTGTGAGCACGGACATAGTTCAACACGATCCTCATGTCTTCATACTTGGTAACTGGAGCTTCGAGGGGGCTGGGAGTAGGCCCATTGCGTCCAAAATTTGTTACAGGAAATGCTGATTCGGCCTAGTTTGAATTTCTCCGGCAGTTATCCGCCGATGCAAACAACATTGTCATTGGGCTTGTCCGAAACGCCGAGGCTACCAAGCAAAAGGTGGACGCCGAGCTGCAGCGGAAGAACATTCACGTCCTGCAAGCTGACCTTGATGACTTCGATGCGATAAAGGTAAGTACCTGGCATGGGGTTGAGGATTTGCAGTAACATCCGATCTTAGACAGCCCTGAATGCTGCATCAGAAATCACCGGTGGAAGCATCGACTATGTCATTGCAAACGCGGCTTTCATCTCAACCTGGTCATCTTATGATGGCATCAGCGTTCTGTAAGTTGATTAAATTTCACGGAGTCTCAGTACAGGAATGGTCGACACATCTAGATCAAGGGACTAACAGCGTGAATAAAAGGGGAGAGACACCGAAGCGGCTAGAACAGGACTTAGTCAACTCGTTCCGTACGAACGTCGTCGGTAATGTCCATCTCTTCAATCTCGCACTGCCACTCATCCTGAGAGGTCATGCGAAGAAAGTGGTCACAGTCTCATCCGGCATGGCTGATTTGGATTTCATATCCAAGTCCGGCATCGAGGTCGGAGCCCCTTACTCGATCAGCAAAGCAGCTCTGAACACAGCCGTGGCCAAATTCAGTGCAGAACACTCCCATCAAGGCGTTCTTTTCTTCAGCATTTCGCCCGGAGTGATCGACACGGGGCTGTATGACAATGGTAAAAACTACCGTATGTGCTCTTTCTAATTGCGTCTAACATCTTGCCAGCTACAGAGGAGGAAAAGCAAAAGGGAATGGCAATGCTTGGCAAGATGGCGAAGTATGCACCGCATTTCACCGGCCCGTCGACTGCAGAGTCTTCGGTAAAGGATATGCTGTCAGTCATCTACAAAGCCAGCGTTGAGGCTGGATTTGGAGGGTCGTTCATATCTCACCACGGAAACAAAGAATGGATTTGAGGAAGACAGAAGGCAGCCGTACCTCGGCGAGGCCGATCAAACGAATATCTGCGGATTATCGTATTGAATCGGCGAGCTATCACTTTGCAGCCGCCTCGCAGAAACATTGTGGAAGACTGCTTTGCCCGGCTACTCCTAGGCGCCTTCTTACTCAGGGACGAGTTCGGTGAGCAACCCGAAGAACGACTCCAACGTGCGGTATTTAACAAACATCAAACGGTCATAGTCCTTTCTGAAATAAACTCAAGACAGCTCATGTGGTACCATTACGTGTGTATGTCTCATATGACCGTGCTCCGTTGCCCAAGTGTGACAGATGGCCATGGCACAGCCTCACGAGGCAACTTTTGAACTCAGCAAATGGCTCAAGCATGGGCCACTCGGTTATTTGAATTGAAGCTAACGTGGATGAATTATTAGAAACGATCCTATGGTCGTCTCTCAAGTCAGCAGGAACGTAGATTTTGAGCCTCACTCTTGTTGTACTAGCAGCCTGGCTTCATCGGACTGATTCACAATTGGTGCGACGCAAATCGATGGCCAGTGCCAGGTCAACCTCGTTATAAATTCGAGCTCATCTTCTCCAGCAGTTGAGTCATATTATAAGTTTCATTCAGCTTGTTCAACTACCAGCTTTACGAGCCTTCAGCGCCGCTCACTGGTGAGAACCTGGCGATGGCAACTTTTGCAAGCGAAAATGCCGACTTGAACAAACAAGCCTCCACTTCAACTGAACTCGAGCAATGGACTAGAGCCAGGGACGGACCTTCCGGAATCCCATCACGTTGCGCTTCGCTTAGCCCTCGAAGGTCGAGCCCGCCTCGGCAACGACTCCGGGATAAAGATGTTTGCGAGGCCCCGCAAGATAGCCAAACTCGCAGATCCGTCCTTTTCTTATGGATTTGGGAGATTCTATCCCTCGTCCTTGCCACATGTCTATTGGTCGTGATCATCACGGTTATCCTCGGCCAAGATGACCACCCCCTCGGAGACTGGCCCTTGGATCGGATCATGACCCTCAATTCTCTCGTCAATTTGCTTTCCACCATATTTCGAGGAATTCTAGTATCTATTGCAACCGAACTCATTGCACAGGCGAAATGGACATGGTTCTGGTGCGACAAATCTTCCCAACGCCGGATGGGCAACCTACAGCATTTCGACGACGGTACTCGTGGCGTCTGGGGGCGCTGAAGTTGATGAGAATTGTCACTTGGCGCAGCCCATCGATCCTTGTCGCTGTGGTTGTCCTCGTGTCGTCGTTCGCGATTGGACCCTTCGTTCAGCAATCTATTGGGCACGTCGACAAAAACGAAACTCTCGGCCTTGGCACTGGAATAATCCCGGTGACGCGGCATGTTGACGGCATGAATATCTCAATACCGCTCGGTGATAGTGGAGGCATGACTTTGAAGTCAGATATCAAGGGTGCAATTCAGATTCTCGCCTTGAGCCGCAACGGTACTGATTCGGTCATTTTGCCGACCTGCCCAACGGGGAACTGCACGTTCATTGGTCTTGGCTCAGATACCTCCGTCAAAGCTGGTTTCGATGTTACTCATGCTTCCGCCGGCATTTGCAACATCTGCACCGATATTGGAGAAATGATCGATCATCGGGGCTTGATTGACAATCTTCAGACCATTAACCATAGCTTGGCGAACGGAATTTCAATCATAAATTCGGACAGAGAAGGAGGGATGAGGGTTATATCAGGCGATCTGTCATGGACTAATGGTACAATACCGCCAGAGATACTCGAACGGGCTTCGGTCTCATTTGCGAACGTCACTGTTTTGACAAGCACGGTACTTGACGGTAACATCAATAAAAATAAACCCAAACACGCCATAGCCGTCACTTGCTCGCTTTACCCTTGTATTCGGGCATATTCGGCAATCATCAGTCGAGGTGTGCTATCCGAGACTCCCGTTACGGAGACCCCGATGAGTTACGATTTTCGCGATGAAAAGTCTCCAGGGGCCCAAAAAGCTTGGTATCTATCTGCAGTATAGCTGCCTTGCCTCATCAAAGGGAAGGTATACACCGAGGGAAATCTTTCACGAGGACCTGATCTCTCCACAATACGACGCGCAAACGCGGGGAGAACTTCAGATATTGACTCTGAATTTCAGGCTCCCGAAGAGTGTATCTACCGCGTTGAAAACGGTTTCAAGCTCCTGATGTCACAGTATTTCTCGGCAGAATTCTTCAATGGCACTTGCAGTTGGGACTCAAAGCAGCCGAACTCAATCAACTGTGGGGGTGCCATCTGGCTTTCAAGGCTATGGGCGAACGGGGAATCAACATCTGCTAGCCTAAATCAACTCTTTACGGACTTTGCGACTGCCTTGACCAATCAACTGAGATTCGGCATGGGAAGAAAAGACGGCACCACATCGGTAGTTAACGGCGAATCCCTTCAACTTGTCACTTTCATAGCCGTCAAACCACATTGGCTCATATTCCCTGCAATACTACTCATCCTTGAAATCATGGCCCTCTCATGGATGATAAGTCTAACAGTTGTCTACCGAAACGAATTGGCTGTATGGAAGGGCAGTATACTGCCGCTTCTGTTCTACAGAGATTTCTTTTGGGGAAATGCCGATCGTGATGGCGCCTCGAAGAGGCTCTTGACAACAGAGGAGATGGAGGAGCAGGCGGACCAGATTAGAGCCAACTTCTCTCGAGATATTTGGAAGAATTGAGATTCTGGACATTCATTACTATGCTTCTTCGAAGCGATCCGAAAGTAAATGAGCAATTGCCAACGATGACTAGCAACATGGAGCTTGGGGTGTTCAGGGTTTGATCTTCTGACCCTAAGTGTAATAAATCAAGTGTAGAGCAATACAACTTGAACGTTTGTGCATTTATTTTCAAGTCAGCATCCATGAATGAATAATATCAATGATTTTGAGCTGATTAAAGTCACCTCTTATGGAATCGGTGCAGGAAAGCTTTCAGCAGAACACCGTACTTTCGTACACCTGATGATATCATGACTCAGATAACCCGACATAGTAGTTAATAGATGTGAGGTTGATAAGAGAGATTTCAATAATGAAGTCTCCAAGGTTAGGCTCATGTTTCATTTCTGTCGAAGGCGCACGCGAACTGGCATGCCTTCTTTGGGATGCCCGATGCCGTCTCCAGCCACATATAGCCTTTGTCCCCTGACCATGTCTTTTTTAGCTTTAGGTCCTCTGCACAAGATAAGGTGGTTAGCATAGTACGATGACGAGGGGATTATTGTGGCTAGTATATGACCAAACTTACTGGAGAGCATCCCACTCATCCCAGGCCTCTTCAACATCGTATTTTCTCATAATCAAGGCTGCGACCAGCTTGATCTCAACCAGAGCAATCTCTTGACCGATGCAATCCCGAGGACCTCTGGCAAATGCCCGCCAAGCATCCTTGATGGGGTGAAGCGGGTCTTCGGCAGGAACAAGCCAGCGGTCCGGGATAAACTTATCAACGTGCGGCCATAGGGACGGATCATGCTGCATACCGGGGCCGCCGTCCCACACAAGGAAGCCTTCTGTGGGATACTGCAGACCAGTAGTAGCGTCGCTGAGATAGAAACCCGGCTCACCTCCTCGCATGGTGGAGGCGAGTTGATACAGACGGAGAGTCTCCTTGATCACGGCGTGTGTATACCGAAGAGAGCCGAGGAGCTGAGGCGACTTGCTCAGAATATCAGAAGCTTGGTCGGGATCCATACCCAGAACTTCGTCGTGTTCGGCGCGGACCTTAGCCATGCAGTCTGGGTTATCTTGGAGAACCTTGAACATGAAGCACAGCGCACTGGCGGTCGTCTCATGGCCCGCAACAAGGAAGGTCTTCAAGTTGCCCAAGATGGTGTCCATCATCACCGGGTCGGTAGTTGGGTCAATTGGTCGCCCACCTGCCTCTTCTGCTAAGTGCATCAAAGCAAGATTGAGCACCGTCTTCTTCTTTGATGGTTTGAGACCGGTTTCTAGAGATCGGACAATATTCGGTTGAAGCTGGTGTTGTACAATGCGATTGTTACGATCCACGGCTTTGTTCTGCCATGGGAACAAGTAGCCGAAACTGAAGGCCTGTCTTATGCCCATGAGCCTCAGCTGGTCAGCAAGTGCAACTCTGAGAGGGCCAGCGGTTGTATTTGTCTGCTCATGGAGACGCTCGTCCCTGGCAATTTTCTATTAGTCCTGACTATTCTCAAACGAGGCGAATTAGCTCGCTTACAAAACTGCACGGACAATGATGTCAAAAGTGAGAGCCGTCGTCATGTTGCGGAGCTGGAACATGCGGCCCCACGATCCGTTAGGACCGGCCTTTTGTTGCAAATTATCCGCAAAGTCCTTGATCTCTTCGATAAGATCCGGAACCATAGACGAAACGTTTCTCGAGCTGAAGCCGGGGTTGAACCAGCCTCGCCATTTCTTCCACTCATCGCCTTGAAGGGTAGCGATGTCTAAGCCCTTGGTCAACGGGTTCATGAAGTCGAGTGAGATTTGATGCTTGTCAAGATTCTTCGTCTGGGTGAATTGCGCCGCAACGGTATTTTTGTACGCAGCCACGATGGGTGCCTTCAACACTGGCCAGAGATCCAGATAAATGACTGGAGGGCAGTGGTCCATTTCCGGAAAGTATCTCTGATAGTTGTTGATGATCCATGGGTGGAAGTTGCCAATGTTGATGTCTCCTGGATACTCTTTGCGGAACTCAAACATGATGGGAAGATGTCCCATGATCCAAGAGTGAGGGAGCATTGGCTATGTGCGACGGTCAGCTTGTTTGATTGGCTGCGTAACTGCGTTACACGTACGATCCCCAAGGCCTTCACTTCTTTGAACTTTCTCCTGATAGCATAAGCCTTCCAGCCGACTCTCATAAGTCCAGTCGCCAATAAAACGAGGGCAAGTTTAAACAGCAGCGGCAAGAGTGCCGCCGGCGACCACGTCGTCGTAAATCCCATCTTTGATTTGCGTTGAAATAAACGAAGTGTTGAATACAAGAGCCAAGTCGCTAATTTAGTTCATCTGACAATGATCAGTGATAGGCTATCCCCTGCCTCATGAAGAGCCTAAGCGTGGAGTATATATACGTCTTCTTTCTTAGTACTTACCGAGCACCTCATTCTTCACGGGCCGTCCCAAAAAGGCAACATGTTTACATTCCCATTTGGGATCACGCCGGAAATCTAGGCGTTTGGAGATTGGCTCGTTCGATGGAGGTGACGAGTCAGGTTTTCCTTGTGCCATTCTTTAGAGTTTGTGCCCATGCTTCGAAGCTGTCAATCGTGGGGGGTATATTCGGAGATCAATGGCCCATACTTGAAGAACATGTTGTTCAATATCCTGACTTTGGTATTGAATAAATTGCACTTAATGCTTCGAATGATGACGTATGCACAGCGGCGGAAATGTGCTTGATCAGGCTGGCTAGGATCGATTTCTTCCAGCGCTAATTGATCTGTTGGCATACCTCATCGTCCGTAATATGAACTGTCGGTATTATACACTATTTCGTTCTTCGAAGCTTCTGCACCCAGAAACCTTATGACTTGCAGTAGTCTGGTCATCGTACTTGAAGTCTAGAACTTCCTTTGATGACCTCTTAGATAAGTAGTTAAGGTAGGTAAACTGCATCATACGCTAATATCTTGCAGGATTGATCACCCTGGTGATCCTATATCTTTATTTGCAGCTTTGAACTATGAATAGATTGGTCGTTACAATAGTCTTTTCATTTTCAGCCCATAGTATTTGCCAGAACAGCAGCTTGCTTAATTCCCATAAACTTTCTGATACCTACTAGTTGCTCGACTGCCCAAGATCGTACATTTGGTACATTTAGTTCTTCTTGAGAGACGATATGCAGCGGCCATATCATCGAAGGTGCTCCTAGGTTTTTTGTTAGTTCCTCGTCCATGGTAAAGGGTTTCGCAGTTGTTACTGACGCGGGGAACCAGATAGACTAGGTGTAGATATACATATATCGGTAGAAAGACTTTGGATAACTGAGATGCTGTGGAATCTCATGATCTCTTTCAGTTCATCGTTTTCGAAGCTCTGTTTGTCGACATGGTTGAGAATAATACGGTTTGTCACTATCGTCAACGACCGCCAGTTGTTCCAGACTTGGGCTCCCCAAACACTGTTATATGCATGTTGTCTCCCGTTGAAACTCTCTTCTTTCTCGGATGCGTCGGCTTCAACCTCGTGGAACTTCCGATCAGATTGCAATGATCTTGACGCCCAGGCGTTGAGATCACTGTCAATGTCAACCGCTATTCGGCAGATTGCATTGGCGTCTGTGATTTGTTGTGCGTTCATGGCTGCAGAAAGGTTGACGAGCCTAAAGCCTAGTACTGCTAATGATCCGGGACGAAGACCATTGTACAGTGTTCCTTCACGGCTAGCTTCGAATTGCATGGTTATCTCGACCAAAGCCGGGGGTACCGGAACACCTCGATGCATGCACGCCTGGAGCTGCGGGGAACCAACTTAGTAAGGTCCGCTTAGAGACTTTCCATTCGAACTTACAATTTGCTGTCTGAATTGTATGTAAAGCTGTATCCCAAGCTCTCTAGTGAACTGACCTTTGCCGCGAAGGTGCAATAGGGCTGTTGCACCCTCTATATGTGCTGTCCATGCATGACTATCATTCCAGCTTTCAAACATTATCGTCTGCTCAAGTTAGTTGCGGCTATTGAAGGAAAAGGGGTTTCAACCATACAACAAATAACCCAAGGAGAAGAATTGCCATGAGAGTTGTATCTGCCGTAGCCCGGGAAGGGTCATGTAGAGCCACATTAGTAGCTTTTAGTGCTTGTCCATACCGCTCCTTGGCCCGCAGCACTATTTTGGGGGCGTTAGAGATATTTGAGATAGCAGCCATGCCGACTGCTTGGATGCTATGTCGAACTAGATTGTTGGGAGATTCTTCGCCATATTTCTTGGCAAGCCATGATTGGTAAGAGTCGCAGAATGGTGGCCCAGTAGTGGTGTAGTGGGTGAAGAAAAAGGTGGCGGCCCTGTCTTCGATGTCGAAGCACAACGCGTAGTTGATTGGCAGGTTTCCCGGCTTTGACGAGCTCCCAGCTTCATTTCCAAACTTCTTTTTGATTCGCTGGCGCTCGTCCCGAAAGACAAGGTCTGTCAAGTTCCGATAACCAGGGCAAGGCTTCTGCCCTTTCTCGCACTTGAGACATCCCGGTTTGCGTTGATCGCACTTTTTCGAATGCAGGTTAGAAGTAGAACTTACAAGTACATGGAGGAGGTCATCGGGTTTCAAAAGCACGTGCCTTAACTTTGCGTTGACGGCATCGCTGGCAACCCTTACTCAGCGCGCCATAGTAAACCATGCTGCGGTGAAGGAGTTCGGCTCAAGAAGACAACTCCGGGGTCCGGCTCCCGGGCCTAAGGTAAGGTAAGATGAGAGGGCTTCTAGGCAAGCAAACACCCTTGTGTCAGCTTCGTCGACTACCAACGAAAAGGGTGTTCCAGCCGAGGAGTCGACTGAACTAAATGTCAGAAATTCCGTCGGCGGTCACTGTCAGACTCGTTTTTCAAGGGGGATCGGACACGGACACGGGATTCTGAAGGATTCGAGACGGCTTACAAGCCACCAAAAGGTCATCGACCGGCAGCGGGTCGGCGGGGACAGCATCAGCTTCGCAGTCGTCGCCTTGATCGGGATTAGTGTGAGATCTTTCAGGTCTTTGATTGGCTCTGTTGGACTTGGTTATCCCTCTTTGGAAAGAAGTTGGTGGGCCGTTCTCGGTGGCCTTTCGCCAATCATGACAGACTTTGGTGCCCGTTCGTCAAACGCCCTCCTCAGATGTTGAGTTCGGCTTGAGCGCATGAGAGTTATAAAGATCAGGCTGGCCACATCAGATTCCCGCTGTTTATTTTGTATTAAATACTGGCATACTATATGTAAGAACAGCTAGAAGCATCTTTCATTTCTTTATAATAATACCAGCTTTGAAAAATTCGACACTAATACTTAAAGACAATGGCCGACGTCGCAACCGTCCCAACTCCCGTCCAGGTGGAGAAAACCTTCCGCGCCTACACCAAAGAACAAGGCGCTATTTACGCCAAAGGCAGACTGGGCTACCACCAAAGGCTGTATAACTACATCTACGACCACCATGTCTCAACAGGCGGCCAAACAGACTCCCTTCTTGATATCGGCTGCGGGCCCGGCACCGTCGCCCGTGAGCTCAGCCCACGCTTTACACGGACCATTGCCCTGGACCCGAGCGTGGGCATGATCGATGCCGCCCGAGCCCTGGGCGGGGCCACATCGGCGCCGGAGCCGATCCGCTTCGAGGTCTCCACTGCGGAGGAGCTCGGGTCTAACCTCTCCCCGCCCGTCGCCGACGCCAGCGTCGACCTTATCACGGCCGCTACTGCGGCGCACTGGTTCGATATGCCTGGCTTCTGGGCTGCCGCCGCCCGCGTGCTCAAGCCAGGTGGTTCTGTCGCCATCTGGACGAGCAGCTCAAAGTACATTCACCCATCCATGCCCAACGCCGCAGGCATGCAGCAGATCCTACACGATTTCCGTGACGAGTATATCCAGCCGTACATGACACCGGGTAATATCATAGCGGAGAAGATGTATGAGACGCTACCGATGCCTTGGGACCTCGAAACGCCAGTGGCGGAATTCGATGAGAGCGCTTTCTTACGCAAAGACTGGAATAAAAACGGCACAGTCGGGCCGGACGGGGAGTTCTTCTTGGGCCAGCAGCAGCTGGGTCTAGATCACGTTGAAAGGTTCCTAGAAACGGTTAGTCCCGTGACGCGGTGGCGTGAGGCGCACCCCGACGATGTCGGAACGGATCGTGATGTAGTCAAAATGGCCGTTGGGAAGATCGCAAGTTTGCTCCACGAAGCAGGGATGGAGCCAGGGAAAGAAATAATCACCACTGGCGTTGCAGGGGCTCTAATTGTGGTCAAAAAGAAGGAATAAAGCGGATTTGAGGAGGCGCGTAGAGGGTCCAGTCTCATCCAACTCCAAGGTTCTGGGTCCGTCTGCGGGGGGATATAAATCATTGGTCAAATCGCGATGCGGCAAGCAGGCTATTCAGCGTTTACGCGATTCACCCAAACCCCTGGACCGGCGGAGCAAACGGGCTTGTTATTTCGAATGGGGGGCCAACGTTTGGGTGGCATTTGATGATGCCAAGTGTTTGCTTGATTGTTTGTTTGTCGAATGATAGACAGTCGGCTCTTTGTTAATTGGCTGATTTGGGACTTGTGCGAGAGTGGATCTTTTGGCTGCCCGATTTGGACGCTTTCGTGTTGGTTCCAACAAGCAGCATTCCTTCGGACGCTGAACCCGCTTGTACCGCTTCTAGAACTATTTAATCCTTCGATAATCATCCCGGACTTAGTCGGCGAAAGAGGAGTACTTATGCCCCTCCCATCAGGCTGGCGCGCCTCGCAAAAACAACAAAAATGTTCTCCAATTTCCTTCCCGCACAAGCGCGCACTTCTCGATCTCAAACTCCACTGGCAATCATGACCCAAAAGCCGAATGTGAGCTCCACCACGTCCGCCGCCCGAAGAAGCGTTATGGCCATGGACACCGGCCGGATTGATTGGAAGGAGGCTTTTCTGTTTTTCTACTGGGATGCGAAGAAACTCCGCACCCGCCCCAAGGAGGGCCACATCATCGACAGGTTGATTGTCGAATTCTTCCAGCAGACGAGGCC